TTTATTAAACTAAAGTTTGCTTAAAAATTGTCATATTGTAAATTACTTTATTAAATTGAATTTACTAAATAAACCTCTTTAAACTGAATTTTCCAAAAAATTTTACTAATAATTCTGATTATACATGTGGTTGTATTACTATAAAAGAAAATTTGATCAATAATACAATTCTGAATTAAATATGAATTCTAATTATTTACTATATGTTACTTAATAATTCTATCATAATACGGTTTTTAAAAAATAGTTGTATTCAATTTTATCACATATATAGTTTTGACTATACATGTGTTTATATTTCGATAGAACTATTCCAATAGAATATTATATTAATAATTAGAAATACGATAAAAAATATTGAAAAACAATATTAATCAGAAATCGTAATTAAATATGAAATCGTAATTAAATATAAAATCGTAATTAAATATAAAATCATAATTAAATACAAAATTGTAATTAAATATAAAATCATAATTAAATAAGAAATCATAATTAAATATGAATCATAATTAAATATGAATCATAATTAAATATGAAATCGTAATTAATTGAAAATCATAACTATAAAAATATGTGTTATATCAATAACTTTATATAAATAGTAGTTTTATGATTTTGTGTATTACAAAATGTACAGTGAATCAAACTCCAATCTTGAAACTGATATATCATTTTTGAGTTCTTCTTCAAATAATAAAAAAATAATCAGCTCAAAATCACAACCAGATCCAAAAAAAAGGGCAGTATGGCAACATTTTGAACAAGTTGGGGTAAAAAACAGTGGACATCAAGAATGTAAATGCAAGTACTGTAACTAGATACAAAAAATAGGCAAACCTAATTTAATGGAAGCATATTTGGCAATTAATTGTTATAAAGTATCAAAAGAAATCAAAAATATTTATTTAAATTTAATAAGTAACAAAGATGATATTAATAACAACAAACAGCAACTAAAAAACAAAAACTTGATATTAGCAAAGGAAAAAAACTTGATGATTTTTATCGACCTACAACAATTAATTTTGAAACAGTAAAATTAGCAAATAGAGCTTTAGTAAAGTTTTTTGTTTGCTGTGAAATTCTATTTTCAACTACCAACCATCTATTTTTTCGTAACTTTATTCATATTTTGCATCCTGGATATATACCATCTTATCGGACTGAATTATCTCAAGAATTACTTGATGGAGAATTAGCTAGAGTTTTACACAATATTGAATAGGAATTAAAACATAAAGATAATTTAATATTAGATATATTTAATATTTAATAATATATATTTTTATTATTATTTTTATTAATAATTTAACAATTTTTATATTTATAGAACTGGATGGCTGGATTAATCCAACTGGACAGTTTTTGTATACATTTATTATAATAACCTAATCAAGAAAAAAATATATCTATGCTTTAAAAGATATATCACTTTTTTTATATGCTGCTGATTTTTTTGAAAATGAAATACTTGAAGTTTTAGAAAATATTGAATCAATTAAAATCAGTACAATTGTTACCAATGCTGCCAATGCTTTAGTTGCAATTAAAAAAAAAATTATTGAAAAATATTTTCATATTATTTCTTTATGATATATTATACATCATATTAATTTAATAGCAGCAGATATTGCAAAAACAACTTTTACAAAAAATATATTAGAAAAATGTACTAAAATTACAAAATTTTTTAAAAAAGCCCACCAAGCAGGAGGTTATTTACAAAAAGAAATTGTCAATAAATTAATTACTGGAAGAAATTTAAAAACCTATATAAAAACACAATGGTCTTCAGCATTTGATAGTACTGTATCAATATTATAATTGGAAACTTGTTTTTGAAATGTAAGTATTTATAAATTTATAATTTATTAATAATTTATAAATATTGTTACATGTAATTTTTGCTCAAGATTTACATTGTCTCTTGTATTACTTTTAGTAGCATTTATACTTGTAATATTGTCCATTCTAGAATAATCTTTGTACTACTGATCTATGTCTTCACCGCCTTTACCTTTATCACCTTCATTACCTATATTACCTCTAGAATCTTCTATTACTTTATTATCTTTATTACCATGTATATCTTCACTAGAGTATTTCCCTGTACTTGTTGTAAGTATGTTAACTACTCTAACAAAGATAACATTTATTTTATCAATATTACTACTATTATCTATTAGGTACTCTAAAATATGTATATAAACGCCTCCAATTTCTCCTGGAATTGCAAGGTTGAACTTTCCTCTTTATTAATAAAATAACTTGACCTTTATAAAACAAATCACCATTGCCTCTTTCGCTTGACCTCATACACCTCAGAACTGTACTAATTTTAGTACACCCTTATGAACTTTAGCATACCACATTGGTTCATCCATACAAAGTGTCTCCCTGCTATTAGTTCTCCGTCCATATCTTTCTCCTGAGATAGGAAGGTATATGACAATACTTAGACAAAGGACCAATTTTTGAGCCTTGCATTAAGCTCTTCTTATGAAAGAGAGGTGTAGTTTAGTCTAGCAATTTATAATACTATTGTAATGGCAAGTCACTTATAATAAAAAATGAGAAACCAATGGTTGTCTTTGTTTCTTAAAAAAAAAATATTAAAACAAATAAAATTTATTTATTATTCAAAATATTATTATTTGACTTTTCAAACTTGAAAATTTTTCTAAAATTTAATTAATCCAGTTTGCTTTTAAGAAAATAAATAAAAAACTTTTAAATTAATATTGTTATATTTGATTTTTATTTATGATCTTCATATCTCTTGTTCAATTTTATTAACATTTATAAAATATTGTTTATTTTAGAATAATCTTTATATTAATAATTTATTATTGCAATATATTGTATTTATTATGTTATTCTTGCTCTAAAATATTTTTTATTTATTTTATTTCTTTTTAATTAAATATTTTTATTGGAAAATTTCTTTCTATAAAAGTATATATAATCAATTATTCTAATAGAAATAATATTTTTTTACAACTCTAATAATATATATAATATATATTATATATACAAAATATTATATATTTTAAATTATTATTATAGTTTGATATAAAAATATCTATATCTCACAATAATCTTAATAAAATCAGTTTTTACTTTGTATTAATAATATATAATATATTTAATATATTTTTAATAAGTTTTTCAAGGTCTTTTCAAACTTTTCCATAGTTGTCAAACAGGTCTTGCTAATGTGAAAGGAAAATTGCATGATCACATGAGTCTATGCAATAATGATCTTAAAAATGACAAATCTGAGAAAAATGAGATATCTGTAATATATTTCTTTTATTTGATTTATTTGATTTCTTTGATTTATTTAAGATATTTAATATAGTTGAGAAATTAGATATATTAGCGATAGTTTAGATAGTTGAGATAGTTAATATATTTGATATAATTTTTTGTAATTAGCATGTATATAAGGAGAGCGAAAATATCTAAATAAAATCATCTACTGAAGGAATAATAATTGCTAAATAATAATTGTTCAAATAAACTACTATGCAAATGTGTTGACATTTGAAGGTGAAACTGTGACCATAAAGGACTTTGGAAGAGTTTCAAGAGTAGTTTGGAAGTGTGAATGCATCATTGTTACAACAGGAACTTAGGTATAGTTTGAGTAGACGAATGTGCATGCTAACGGATGAATTTGAGTTTATTTTTTAGGGAAAGAGAAGGATACTCAGACCAAATTATTACGCCTCAGCCTTACAAATTTAATTATTAGAGAGGACCTCGAAAGACCCTCACACTAATGAATTTTTAATATTAAGTATATTAAAAGATAGTTTTTGATTTTAAACTCTGTATTATAAACTTTTTAATTGTTATATTTTTTATATAGCTAAGACTTTCTTGTTTTAAGTTTGTATAGTATTAATAATTTATTATATATTGGTTTGCTCCAAGATTTTTTTTTATATTCTTTAAAGAATATGGTTGATCTATTTTGGCTTGAGATTGTTTTATATAAGAGTTTAAATGTATTGAAACAGTTTAAACAATAAGCTTATAATTCAGCAAAAGGAAATCATCAAAAAAAACACAAGTGTTTATTAAAGAATAATCATTATTTTATTAACTCAAAAGTGAAATACAAGTTTAAATTTATATAAAGGTAAAAAGGTCTCTTTTTATAGCTATTTTTCATTGCATAAATAAATATAAAAATATATAAATAAAAATATATACTGTATTATTAATACATAAATATTTATTGGTTCTTTCAAAAGACTTATATACCATAAATATAAAATAAGAAATAAAATAAAATATAATAAATATTATATATACTTAATAATAATCTCTTGTTTCTCAAATAAGTATAAATATAATTAAATATAATTAGTAATAAGAAATGATTAATAATAGTTCAAAGTATACATATGTTTGTAGTACTATAAAAGGAAATTTAATTAACAATACTATTTTAAATTAAATACAAATTTTAATTATTTACTATATGTTATTTAGTAATTTTACTATAATATGGTTTTTGAAAAATAATTGAATTCAATTTTATCACATGTATAGTTTGAAGTATAATAAGATTCTGATGCATTTCAGAAAGTTTTGGGGTGTTCTCAAGTATTCTGATATATTCTAGTCATATGTTATATAACATAGCAGGTACAGTAAAACAGAAAAATTATTATATTCCAGAACTGCTTTTAGACTATAACATTTTATAATTGAGGAAATTATAAACAAGTTATTGTTTACTATTAATAAAAAAAAACTTTATTAAATTAAAGAAAAATTAGACAAGTTTATTATTTTTCAAAAGAAAAAGGTTTTTCTTATATAAATAATTTTTCTATATAAATAAATAAGTAGAAATACAAACTAAAAATAGTACATATAATCTTATTGATTTTCTATAAATTATATATATATAATAAAAGTATATAATTATAAATTATTTTTCATTTACATGAGATGCAACAATCAATCCAAACGGAAGAAAAATGTCAAGCAACACTGAAAGTAGCAAGTTCCTAACAAATCGACAAGTAGAACTACTAGATATTAAAGAAGAACAGGGAAAGAAACAATTCTAGTCAAAATACAACCATATACAAAGAAACCCAATACTACTCAAACCAAACAACCCCAAGTTCCAACAATCCAAAATCACATAAAGACCAACACCTTGCCAACTTAACAACAAGACAAAACAGCAGAACAACAAATCAAAAACAATCCCATTGTGAAGAAACAACATAAGTTTTCAACTAAACAAAGTTGAAATGATCAGGTAGCAAATGAACAAGATAGCCAGAGAGATACACAAGTAAGAAGAGAGTTTAACAGTAAACCATTTCAAGACAATTCTGTAAACACAAGTAACAAAACCATAAGAATTGATGATACTGATGAAGAAATGGACAGTGAAAACAAAACAGAACTAAACCAATCATGGTTTACCCTCCTTAAAGGGAAAAGCAAACAAGAAGTTTCCAAAGAAACAAACAAATCAAGACCCTTTTTACTATTTGATAGAACAATCAGATATGGCAAAGAAAGACACAAAATTGGAATCGCAGTAGCAAAACTCACAGGAAAGACAACATATCAAAAAATTGAACAAATTATTACAGTACTCAACTCTTCCAAAGGATTGCTTTTAGTCTGCAGTAAAGAAAAAAATGAAGATATGCAGATCATAGCCATTTTTGGTGATTATCAAGTAGCAGAGCAAGCAACTACTATTAAATTACCAAATATAGACAACAAGTTCCTCTAATACATACAATTGGCAAGCCAATAGATCGAAAAAACAAGTCTATTGTGGTTTGGGACATTCCCTTGAACACAAAAATGATTAAAGTCAAACAAATCTTTTTCAAATTTGGAGCAATGACCGGAATCACAATGAGAACACAAAACCTATGGCAAAGTGCTACAATCACTTTCAAAAATACATTAATCAAAAACAAATTAGTGAAACAAAGGAGTGTACTAATCAAAGGTAATTCAGTAAGAATTAATAATACAATGTGAACATTACCAAAAATAAAAGAAAGACACAAAATCACAACCAAATTAATAAACCTATTACCCAACACAACAGCATAGGATTTAAGGAACATCATGACACAAAGCAAAGGGCTCATATGCTATATACTCAGAACAGCAGGTATAGCATATAAACAGAAAAGATTTGTAATAATCAACTTTGCCAACAGAAAAGACCTCCTGGAAGCAGTTCAGAATCAATATATCCTAGATGAAATAGAAATCTATTTTACACCAATCAGCACTAAACTATGTGCGATTTGCAATTTGAACATCCATCTTGCTAAAGACTACCTATTTAAAATAAGATAGCAACAATAGAACAATTATTATAAAAAACAAGCAATCAAATTTGAACTTCTATACAACAAATACAAATCTGTCAAAACAATAAAAATTCAAAACATAAACAACTTCCAAGCAAACTACAACAGTAGATACAGATCTTTCGCAGATGCAATCAAGCAACCAAAAACTATCAATCCAAACCCAACAATTAGCAAAATCGTCAAAGCATTATAACAAATTCAATAACAACTATCAGAACTTCAGAAAAAAATGACAAAGATTGACAAGAGAATCACTAACTTAGAATTCCACAATAAAAAGTATATGAAACTATGGAAACAGAACAGTCAAACACTACAACCAGTAGCAAAAACAGCCAAGAAAACATCTCTCCTTAGCAACAATTACAAGAAAGAACAATCGAAGAAATCAGAAACCAACAAACCAATCTTTTCATATCAGTAGATAGAATTTAAAACAATATAAATTGCTTGGTATCAACAATTGATACAATAACAGAGAACAAAACCCCAATACACCATGCATCCAATAATATAGAAAATACAAGCAACCAAAACAATAAACAAAATCAAAACAAACAAAACACAAATAATACAGATGAACAATTAAACAATCTAGAAACACAAATTAACAATTAACTAACCTGATCAGATTCTAATTCAAATGCAGAAGATGACAATACAACAACAATACTATCGCAAGCACAATCATAAAAAATAAATCAAAATGAAAAAAACAATATATACCTATATAGCCCCTAACAAACAGCAACCACAGAAAAGGAAACATTACACACAAGTAACCTACCCACATAGCAAATTGCTATCTGTAACATAAGAGGCCTCAAATCAAACCCAGGCAAACTAATTCTATAGAAAGAATGGATCACAAAATCAAAAGCAGACATCATCACATTAACAGAAACAAATCTTATTAATAATAAAAATAAACACATATCTTTTAAAGAATATCATACAATATGAAGCAACAATAGTCCTCAAACAAAAGGATTTGGCATTGTACTTCTAATCAAGCAAAACTTAGCAAAATATATGTACAAAAAACAATATGGCAAGACAGAATTATAACAGTTGATCTTTTATTCAAACAAAAAACAAGCTCAGAATAATTGCAATATACATCCCCACAGAATCACACATCAATAACAAAACATGTATATGTGAGATCATTCAAATTAGCAAAGAAGCAAGTCCAAACAAAGTCTAGTTATAGTAATAAGAGACTTCAACTCAATAGCCAACCCAAGCATAGATATGCCAACATCAAAAACCATGGTAAACAAGCAATACAAACCAACAGGAGAATTAATCTCATGGCTAATAACAAACAACTTTATTGATACTTTCAAAAAAATTAATCTATATAGTATGGCACATACATGGAAAAATTCAACAGGCATATACAGTAGAATAAACCAAATATAAATACAACCATTCCCTCTCTGGCTAACAACAGATGCGTATATCCAAGACCTTGACACAGACACCCTTGAAACAGACCACCGATCAATACACAGTTTTCTTTACCACTGGAATATACAACTAACAACGAATAATATATAAGAAGCTCTTCAAACACAAGATATCAATAGTATGATACTATAGAAGAAGAATGGAAAGATTTTGACCAAGACATCTACCTACAACTGTAACAATCATGAGGAATAACAGCAAAAGAAAAAAATCCAATAAATAAAATATGGTGTCTCATAAGAGAAGCAATCCTACAAGCAGCCAGCAAAAACAGAAAGAAATATAAAGAAAAGAAAAGAACAACAAATCCATCCAAACCACAAACATATGTTCTAAGACAACTCTTCAAACTTAGAAACCTAGGATGAAAATTTAAATGAAAAGAAATTCAAAAATCAAGGTTCAGAGAAAAAACTGAAAAAATTATAAGCAAATTAAGAAACAAATAAAACCTATCAATAAACAAACCAGAAGAACTATTCAATAAAACAAATATAACAGAATAGAATCAAAACCTAAAATGTACAATAACTAAATATAAACAAAATTCTCAAATCAGTATGCCAAAATTAAAAAATCAAAGCAATATAAAAACATATTATATGTAGAAAGACCAACTTTGCTACAAACAAAAAACAAATGATAAGAAATCTCCTGGACGACTCCAAAAAACATATCATTTTTGACAAACTAATCACCCAAGAGCCAGAAGAAAAAATTATAACTGAACTGACAAAGATTCAAAAAGAAATAAGCAAATACTTCAAAAAATAGACAAGAAAATGAAACACAATCAATACAACAAATACAATGTGAAACAAGGAGTACAAACCAATTAAGCATATCTCAAAGCAGTGGTATGCAAACACAACTGAACCAATTACAATTGAAGAAATATAATAAACAGTAAAATCCCAATCAATAAAATCAGTATCTGGTCCTACAGAAATCCCATATATAGCACTTAAAAACTAATCCCAAAATTTCTGTTCTATATTGAAAAACTCTTCAACCAAATTCTCAAACATGAAACAGTTTCAAACAAATAGAAACAAAAAAGTATATACCTGATACCAAAACCAAAACCTTGGAAAAACAACATAAACATTACAAGACCAATAACTCTTTTGAAAACCACAAGAAAATATTCACAAAAATAATCAACAATTATCTAACAGCAATATTAAAAATCAATCCAATTCTTCCACCATACAACTGAACAGCACTTCCAAAATATAGTACACAAGAACCAATCCACATTTTAAGAGCTATTCAAGATAATACAAAACAATACAACAAACCAGCATGGATACTGAGCCTTGACATGGCAAAAGCATATGACTCGGTTAGCATCTCAAGACTGTGACAAGCAATGGATAGAATCCAATGCCCAAAGAAAATCATTAATATTTTAATGAACATATGCAACAATAGACAAAATAAAGTCATAACACCCTTCGGTCCTTTACTAATATACACAGTAGAAGATGGAATAGATCAAGAAGACACAATATCCCCACTCTTTTGGAGAATCTTTTATGACCTTTTAATTATTTACATAACAAGAGAACATAATGTATATATACTAACAACACACCACAAATTAGAGATAGCAGAAAAATCAACACTAACAAAACAAAAAATCACATACATAACATTTATAGATAATACTATACTAATAGCATAAAACAAAGAAGAAATGCAAGAACTCTGTAACACTTGTATCAACTTTTTCAACACAAATAATATCAACATCAATGGAGCCAAATCAAATCTCATCACAATCAATATAAAAAAGGAGATAACCAAACCAATAATTATATAAAATCAATCAATAATACCATTAACAGCACACCAAACTGTGAGAATCCTGAATGTTTATATAGAAAGCAACAACATAAAACTTTTTCAAAAACAACTAATCAAAGACAAAACATTCAAATTTGCAAATACAATCAAATGAAAAACAAGTACAGACAAACAGCTCAGATATCTATACAACCATATATGGATTCCAGCTGTAACATATCTTCTAACAGATATAACAATTACTAAAAAACAAAGCAACAAACTAATGCAAATGCTAAATAGAATATATAAATACAAAATCAATATGGCAATAACAGCACTAAATATGATTCTGTTCAATTCAATTGAATATGGTTTTTTTCACATTTGGGATAGACAAGTGCTAATGCATGCAAACAACTGGTACAAGTTGTGAGGGTCGGTCGAAGTCCTCTCTAATAATTAAGTTTTTAAGGTTGAGGCATAATAATTTGGTCTGAGTATCCTTCTTACTTTACAAAAATAAACTCAAT